CTAATTCACCATGGATGAGGATGTTTTCAAATGCCTTCGAATGGACACGCCAGTTTACTAGCTTATAGTTTGAAATACTTTGGTGTCTTCTAATTTTGATCCCGAAGTGTTGTGACTAGCTGCGTTCGGAAGTGCAGCAGCTAAAATGACTAACAAATTTTTCTTCCGTTTGCTAATTTACCATGTTTTTCAAGCACTTGAAGGTTTTTACCAAAATCCTAAAATTTTGAAGGTCTAAGTGGGACTGCTGGAATTAATTACATATCGTTGCTTTACTGCTTAAATTTGGTGTGAAGGAATGGTAGCATAACACAGGTGATTTACAACTATCTTGGTGTTCATCTGTGCTTGGAAGGACGATACTGTGTAGGTGCGGTAGACTACCAATTGAAACTGTATGGTCCGCTATTGCTTTCTTAAACTGTATGGCCGACAAAGTGAAGTTAAGAATCACAGGGAGAGGTAGTTGGCAAAACATTGCTTTTTATGGGGTGGGGGGGAGCTTCAGAGAATGATCACTCTTTGTCTTCTTGGATGTTCCTTAGGGTGTGATTTCTTAAACGGCGTTTGTGCGGATCACAGAGGTGTTGTTGCAGTGAGAGGGCGACTACGTGCAAATGGAAATTTTTGCTCTGTTGTCTCACCGAAACAGCAAAAGTACGAAATTGCGATTTATATATTTTGCTAGTGACGTAGTAAAAGCGCAGGTCCTTCTCACCTAAATTTTCTCTTGTTTGGCTCTCAAAGGTTGGTAAGCTTTTGGTATCAGTCTGCTGTATCTTAAAGCTAACTTCATCTTGAATAGAGCTTTGTGTTGAATATAGCGCGCGGTTGAAGTGGCTTTCTTCTATAACTACGTTCATTTCTCAATGGTAGTAGGAAAGTTTCAAAGCTGGTTCACTTGCTGGGCATTTGGGAGAAAGTGGATGAGACTTTAGACAGGTAACTGTTGGGTTCGCAAGTGAAACATCTTTTTCTATGCATTTGCTCCTGCGTTCTGCGGGCAGTGGTTTTGGTGTGGACAGCAACTAATCAAGTCAAAGTTTAGATTGCACTTTTTTATCTACTGGTTTAGACTTGTTGAGGTTGATTCGCAATCCATAAACAACGGCATCGAAAACATATCTGCAAGAACTGTAATTGGCCATTCTGCGTTTATCCCGGAACTTCAGGACTTACGATAGCAGTATATTTAAATGATCTGCTGCACACTGTAAGTGGTGTGATTCACTAAAACTTTTACTGAGCATAGGTTTTTAAAGGAAATGTTAAAGCTCGAGAAGCGTCATTTCTCTAGAAAAGTTTATTTTACCTGAGAACCTTTCATGAAAACTAAGCTTGTGTGTTACCTTTTGCTCGATCATCGCCCGTCCAACGGATATTTTAGTCAGTTGAATGGGCTAAGTCTGGGCTACTTTTTTGTCTGGGTAAGTAGTGTACCAGACGAAGCTTATTTAAGTCATGGTGCGGCTGTTATATAAACAATGTAACGTAGTCTAGCCCTAAAATGCTGCGCTTGCCGCGAGCAACGCGGATCCAATACAGTACTCTGCAAGCGTGCAGAGCGAAATTGACATTTGGTATTTGAAGTGACGTCGTAATATTCGGATTATCTTGAATGTTATCTCTGAAAGTAATTAAGGGTAGATGGCGTCGCGTAATGGGCGAACATTTGCTCTTCTTCTGTAGGGTCGTTAGTAAAAGGAATGGCTTCATCTCCATAGCCACTCAATTATGTGTGAATAAGGTAACATTTATTTTATGTGATGAACAAATGCAGACAACCGAAACTTCTACTAGAGTAAAGAAAAAATGAGGAATGCTCTTAGAAATGGGTACCCACTCGTCAGAATGCAGCAGGTAAGTTAACATGGTAACAAACGACAAATTCTGTTGTGTTTGTGGTGTTGTTAAAGCGGTTTTTTCAATATTGTTTCTGAGTATCGAACGAGTATCAATTTTTTTGTAGCAGACAGGAAATAGATGAGAAACAAAGGAGGGGTTTTCACATTTAACGGTGGGTAGTGGTTTTGCTCTTAAACTATTTGGTTCTTCTTTCTGTAAGTTTGTAGCTGGTAAGCTGCAACGGGTTCAAGCTCAGGTGGAGCAACTGTTGATCGCAGGCAGCGAAGTGGACGAGAGGACGTATCAATAAGGAAGTACCCAAAATCTGATACTTCAAACAGTCCTTCTGGTGCTTCGTCAAATATTATGCGACCTGTCTTGTCCTGAATTTCAAATGGAGATATAGAAATAACTTTAGCAAAGACGCTCGACACTCCTTCAGACCTCTGTTTCACTGACTCACAGTCATCACGGTGCAGAACCAGTAAGTCGAGCTGCGACATCTTAGCTGAAAATCAAGTCATACTTAGATAAGAATTTACTCTTAGTCCCACTAGAAACAACTAACTGTACTGCCTGCGACAGTGAAAGTCTTGTTGAGAGTAGAGTTCATAAACTAACCTCTAGTTCAGAACACTGCCAGTTCTTAGGTGTGTAGAACAGACTTATAGTAGGAGTTTAGAGGACAAGGTTTTGCCAGCGAATTCAGTTGTCGGTTTCTCTTTACACAATCCTGGGAGGTGACTCAGTGTAATATCTCTTAAAAAAGTTTCAGTAATGACTTGTCGTCCACAAAAACTTTGCTTAAACGATGAGATCACTCTGTTGCGAGTTCAAATTTTGTTAACTAAATTTGTATCAGGAACAAAAAAAGTGAAACATTTGTACAGAAAAAAGACCAAATATGTGAGAACTGCTTTGAAACCAAACTGCCATTTTTGAGAACTATTTCAAGGCGGGCAGCATTAAGCGCTACCGAAACTGCCGATTAGCAGTGGTAGAATGTATGAACATATTTCCCAATTCCCTGTGGTTGCGCAGTAAATCCTTTAAAAGTCGTCCTTCATGATAGTGCCACACAGGCACACCGCCCTTCTACGCATAGGGGCGAGCGAGTGGCACAATACAAAAGCTGCGATTTGCTAGTAGACCTGACTTTCATGGAATTTTTAGTATAATTCGCTACGACCATTTCGAGATACAAACTACTAAAATGCTCGCGTAGATATGCTACGCAGTGCCGAACAAACTCACTAGGGCGCAACCAAGAAATCGTAATTCCTCGCAAACGCAACAACTCGTCTGTCTACCAACTCAACCCACTTTTCAGAACTACAGTAGACACGCGGGGTTACTCGCGCCGAGCATCTAGAAATCTATAAACAAATAGGTCGGCTAACAAACTCACAAAGACGACTTCACTTAAACATTTATTACTTAAGATTACAAATTTGTTTCGACGCCAGTCGTGCGTCACTTCTATTAAAAGACCACATTTTTTCAAACCTGCGCAGAGATCTTCAATTTTTCACAAACAAGCTAATTCAAAAAACAAAAAAAGGGAATAGAGAAGTAAACGTAAGTAATTAACGCATTTGACTGCCTTATAGGAACAGTTGCTAACGGGTCAGAAATGAGATGCAACCACCAAACACTACGAGTTACAACGGAAACTACTTTAGAGATATTTTAAAATCCGTCCAACATCGAAATTCTTATGGCAAACATCTAACGAATTAACTAACATTTCAGGCACCAATGAACTTTTTGAACAAAAGAAGTTTTTGATGCAGCCGTAGAGCCACAGTGATGAAGAAAAAGCACAAGGAACTAATTGACGTAAATTTTTGCAAACAAAAAACGAAACATAACAGTATTTACATAGTTAAGGGTCCAAGACCAATACATTTCTGGTTATAACAATAACTGAGGCCATGACGTGACAATAACTTTACAACAAATGGGAGTCCCTGACATTAAGATTATATAGTTCCTCTAAAAACCGGTATTCGAAGCCTCGTGTCAAGTTGCTGATTATGTTTTTTTAATGAATAATGAGTATAGTACCTGACGAGATCTACTATTGTGGGGAAGAATATGTCGGTGTTATGAAATCCAAAACCGCAGGCTTCTGGATGCTTGGTATCCCTAACGAAATTAAAGTCCTTAATTAGTGCAATAACAAAAACAAAGCTTTAAAAATTCTTACGGAGAGAAGAAATTTTGGCATTCAGTTGTTAAAGGGAATTCTAAACCAAATACGCATGACATGAGCACCGCCCGAAGGCTGTTTTATAAGTCAGACCAGCCTGTTAGTGAATTAAAAAAAAAAAAACGATCGTGTATGCATTCCCGTTATGTACTTCCACACACGGGAAGATTCTGTTCTGTAAGGGGCTCAGCACAGTGCACCAGATCTCTACGATTTATACACGATTCTCTACGATCTGCCTCGGCAATTAGCAACTTCATTACATGCTAACCGATGGCCAAAAGTTATCGTAATTAAAAGGCGGCATATTTTAATGCGCAATAAAGAGCGATTATCAATTTTACAGCAGCAACAAAATAGACATTACCTTTTAGGTCTATTTTTTTCCAACAATTAAATATTTTTCTCTTCTAAAAAAACTATTTTTTCAATTTCAAATGCAGAAATTTTTTGTTAGTTTCAAAACTGTTTATATTAGGCCACTTTGGGAACTCTACCTTTGCTCTATTAGACAGTGTAATATGCGATTATCCTTCGAAACAGTTAGCGCAAAATGGCCTTCTTGTGACTGACTAGGTCTTATAACAAAAATCCCGTCAGGATTTTCCGGATTACAGTCCATAACTTCACGTATTAACTTTGTAGCATTCGCCTGAACAAACCCATGAACTAATGAACAGGAAGTAATGCAGTGAAAAGTCCAAAAAAATGTTCTTTTCCTCCCCCGTAAAACTAGATTACTTTAGATGAGTCCCAGGATATATAGCGGTCAGGCTGCCACCGTACAGATAATTGCAGCAGCACTTTCGACAACTCTTCGGATTCTGTGATACAAAGACCATTACTTTCAGCGATAAGGTCATCTATTTGATCAAAATGAACTCCTAGTCTCAAAAGTCGAAATCGGCACTTGATGAAGTTTCTAAAAAAATTCAGAGTAATGCACCAATATTCCAGTAACAATTGTTAATGTAAATATGAAAGTGTTACGCATATGCTGTTTCGTATTTCGACAAAAGATTGTCATAGTCGTGACTGGTATTTAATAACCGCCTTTCAATTTCAAAGATTTGCTCACCCAGCTTATCTTGCCTGATTTTTATCAGGCTGGCCCTAAAAAACAATTATACGAGTCTATAACTGTTGCAGGATGATGAATTGAAGATAAACAAACTTTCACAATGCTCTATTACCGAGTTTTTTGACTTTCCAAATTTGCTTGAATAAACTGTTCTTCTTCTTCGTTACTACACAATGAAAGTTTCCTATAAAAAGTGAGCGTAGCTTAAAACAATTAAATATTACAGACCGATAACATGTTTAATGACCAACATGAAATACGGAATCAATTCCCTAGTCAGATGACCCACTGACTGTGCGACTAGAATAAAACCCCTAATCTGAGCAAATGCTAGTATTTGCAATATTAAGCAAAAAAATTGGAATAAATAACTAAAAGTTACTCGGACAGTAACTGCCACTGGTCGTAAAATAACTTAAAAACAGTTTCAAATGCTGCATAAGTTTGCTGTTTGTGAAGTAACTCCTCATATAAATTTTCCAAATCTTTTGTGTAATTGTCATCGAAACGCCTTGTACGCCATAATTCTAAACACAAACCGCGCATTTGGATAATCAGGTAACTACGATCATTAGCGCCATCAACTTCCTAAAAAACTAAACGAATAAAAAGTTTCCTTCATCCAATTACCGACAGTCTCCTAACAGATAACATGGTCCAAATATATCATTTCTCACTGTATACACTTTGACGCTATTTCTATGTGTAACTTTGCATCAAGTTGTTGCACTTTAGACGTTGCCAGGCTTAACTTGAACTTTTTTTTACAAAATAAGGCAATTAAATCAAATGCAACAACGGACAAAAAACAGCAATCTAGTAAATTTCTAAGAGTAAGAACTTAGCCAAAGATTGATAAGCGGCAGTGTAAAATCGAGGCACGGAACAAAATAAGAGGAGAAAAGTGATAAAGAGGGCTAGATCTAAAAGAAAGAAGAAGATAACTACCTCCCTTTTTTTCAGTTAGAAATTTTTTAAAGCGGTTTTACTTCCTTACAAACCCGAACTGAACTTAAAAAACCAAAACTTCTGTGCAGCATAAGATTATAAAATCGTCATATTTTACCCTTCCGTAAACTTACAAACAATTTTTTCTTTTTTAGACCCATTTACTCATCCTTTACTCCCATGCGCTTATTTTATTATCTCTTTGTTGTTTCAAAAACATGGCTAATTTCTGTTAAATCGAGTCATGCAAGAAAGGCAGAACAATAAAAAGAACGAAAACAAAAGGAAGACAAAAAAAAAAAAAAAAA